AAGTGGGATTGATGGATCATATGTTAGTTATATTTTAAATTTTTTGAGGAACATACTGTTTTCTGATGCGTTTGCACCATTTTACAATCCATCAACAATGAACAAGAGTTCCAACTTCTCCATATCCACACCAATGCTTGTTATTTTCTGTTTTTTTTTTTTTTGATATTAGTCATCTTAATGAGTGGGAGGCAATGTCTGAATGTAGTTTTGATTTGCATTTTTCTTATGATTAGTAATACTGAGAATGTTTTCATATGCTTGTTGACCATTTGTATATCATCTTTGAAAGAATATCTATTCAAATCTATGCTCAGTTTTAAATTGGATTATTTGATATTTTTGTTGTTGAGTTGTAAGAGTCCTTTATATATTCAGGATATTAGCCCTTATCAAAATTATGATTTGTAAATATTTTCTCCCATTCCATTGGTTACCTTTTCACTCTGCTAATTGTGCCTTTGATAAATGAAAGTTCTAGAGTTTGATGCAGTCCCATTTGTCTATTTTTGCTTTTATCGCCTGTGGTAAAATTCCATTTAAATCAACCTGGATTATGGTGCTTCTCCCTACCGCAACTGCCTGCTAGAAGGAAAATTCCCTTGAGGATATTAGTGTTGTCCAGAGCCTGACCTTATCTTTATGATTTTTACAAACAATATCTAACATTCAATCTAAAATTACCAGACATAGCAGGTAACAAGACCAAATGGCTAAGAACCAAGAGAAAAAAATGAGCAATAGAAGTAGGCCCACAGGAGATCCAGATATTGGAGTTATTTATCACCGACTTTTTAAATGCAATTATTATATTCAAGAAAATGGATCACTACCTATAGAATTTCAGCTGATCGAAATATGTAGAAAATAACCAAATGAAGATTCTAGTATTGAAAAATACATTAATTGACATTAAAAACACTACAGATGAGTTTAACAACAGAACTAGAAAATAAGTCAATAGGTCAAATTAAGCATGGAGAGAAAAAATAATAGAAAATACAGGAAGCATAAAAGACTTTTAGAAAAAATTCTCTGTGAAATTGTACTCCCAGAAGAAGAGAGGAAATGGGGCAGAAGAAATGTTTGAAGAGATAATGTCAAGAATGTTCCCAAACTAAAGCCACTAATTCAAGAAGTGCTAAGAACTCTAAGGAGGATATTTTAAATATTTTAAAAACACATATTTATTTCAAAGGAGCAAAATGATATTAATAGATGACATCTCAATAAAAACAATGGAAGGCAAAAGACAAATGAAATAGTATTTTGAAAAACGCTGAAGAAAAAAATGGTTAATTTATAATGACATATATGTATATGTATAAGAAAATATCTTTCGACAAATGAAGATATATAATGCCTCCTTACCCTTCGTTCTGCCTGCCCACAGTGGTAAACATGAGGGCTCAGGGCACATTTATGTACTGACTGAATGAACGATTGAAGAATTAGGAATTTGAACAAGGATTACCTAGAATGTTTAGTTTTAAATTATCATGATAATGCTAATATCTACATGAGATTAATCATTGATAGTCTTTTAATGGTTTTCTTGATGGAAGTTTATTACTCCCCCAAATTGGGCAGCTCTCCTTATTCCATAAAGGAGGCAACGTTTAAAAATATGTAAGGAAACTAAGAGTCAGTTAACATAAATCTCGATCTTTCATTCTGAATTTGTAGCTCAATTAATATATACAAAAAAGGTCTCAATGAGGTACTCTTTTCTTAGACAGTTCTGCAGTCCAGTTTAAAACAGTTTAAAAGACAACATGACTTTTTAAATTTCCTGGAGGATTTTTTCACCCAAACAATTGTGAGTTAATGCTCGGATATTTCTGCATTAAGAAGAAGGGAGTGTAATCTGTCAACTCACTAAAGGCGAGGAGCTGAGCTGGGGTTCTGGATGGAGCCGCTTCCTTTTTCCTTATTGTGCCACAGCTGGACACCTCCCAGAAAAAGTGTATGAGCAGCTGGGCTTCACTGCAGAACTTCAGACAGACTCTGCAGTCCAGCTATGTTTGCATATCTATACACGGTTACAAGTTTTTTGTTTGAGCTGTAGCTCCTATAAACTGTGAGAACTTTGACTCCTTTGTCAAGTGTGTGACACACAGTACTGAATAATGAAGGCATTTGCAAGGTAGTTCCTGGGCAGTGCCAGCTGTACTGTGGAGGAGTAGCTGTAGAATATGCTGTTTATAAATGAGAAATAGGCAATTTCAGCTAATTCAAAGACCAATTTTTGTCAATGTTTGAGTCACCCCTTTAAAAAAGAGGGATCCTTTAATCCGAAAGTGGAGTATGGACTGTCACCCAAGGCCAGCTCTGCATCTCACCCACTGTTTTTCCCAGCCAGGGCTTTCCCCTCTGGGGCTCAGTACTTTTCAAGTCAGGAAGTGGAATTAGTTACTTCCTCTAGTGGATATTCTCCATTTGCCCCTTCAGATCCGTTCTACACCCTTCTCTGTCTTGTCCTGTACCCTAGAAACTGACCAATGTGGACCCTACACAGGGCTCCCTGTTCTCTGGCCTCCTGTTGTGTTCTTTGCCTGAGAGGGCAGGGTGCACCTGCAGAAAATCGGAGGGTGGGAGAAGAGCAAGCTGAAGTGTTAATTCTCCTGATTCCCTCCCAAATGTCACCAAATGTGATAGTTCCTGGCAGGCAGCCCTTTCCATACAGCTCTTTCTGTCTCTTATTTCCAACAATTTCTCCCTGACCTCACTCCTTCAGGCATAAGCGATCTAAGTACCCTAAAGTTACCATGGCTTCGTATCTCCTGCACACCTCCATGTAAATAGCCCCTCTCCTCAAAACACCCCATAGACAAAATTAAAAGAAGAAAGAGATAAATCCAGAATCATAATGGGGGATTTTAACACACTTCCCTCGGTAATTTATAGAACAAACAAAAAAATTACTAAGAATGTGGATTCAAGCAACTGATTAACAAACTCGACCTAATGGACTTATATAAAGCAATGTGCCACAACACCTCAGACTACACATTTATAAATGTGAAACATTTATCAATATGGACCAACTGCTGGCCCACGGGTCTCAACAAATTGCAAAGGATGAAAATCAGAGTCTGTTCTCTAACCATGTTGGAACTGGGCAAGAAATCAGTAACAAAAAGTAACTAGAAAATCCCCAAATATATGGAATGTAAGTGATGTGTTTCTAAAATCAGTCTTTCAATTTTCCTCTGTTTCTAATCTTGATCCCTCTCCCTCTACGTTGGTGAAGAATGACAGAGCTCTTTTTCCCATTCTCACAGATTCATACATTACCCCATCTCAAGCATTTCCTGAACACTCTTGCTATGACAAGCACTCGGCCTGCCTCCATGCTCCCGTAGTCTGAAGACAAGTCCTAATCTATGCGGTCCAAGGCAAGCTGGGAGCACTGTGCAATCAAATTCTTTTTGGCTGTACTCTTGAAAAAGTGGTAGACCCAAAGCTGGCCTCTAGGATAGAGAACTATTTGTACTTTCAGTGCTTCTCAAAGCACATGAAGTCTGTTCGGTTCTGCAAAATAGAATCAACTTTAAGCACTGGCATTACAGGCAATGACTGTGATCCAAGACTTTGAGGAAACAGATGCCTGAAGATGATTGTGGTCCAAGCTCCTTAGACTGCCATCTGAAACCTTCACTCCCTAGCGCTTGCCTCATTTTTTTTCCTGCTACTTGCTCCCTCCTGCTCTGATCTCTAGCCATCTGAATGACTTGCAGTTCCTGACTGCTTTACTCCATCCCTGCCCCTGAGACCTTGAGTCTATCTGGCTAATTCTTAGTCTTTATCTTTTAGCTTAAAGCCACTCCCTCCAGGAAGCCCTCCTTGATCCACAATCCTAAGACTGGACTAGTTGCCCCTCCTCGTGCTCCCACAATACCCTGCATTTACCCCAGTGGTGATTCTTGCCACTCTGCGTTATAACCTCCTGTTTATTTTTCATCTACCGTGTGCTTAGACTTGAGCTCCTTGAGAACAGGCCTTAGTCCTTCTCATGTCCTTGGTGCCTAACTCAGGGCCTGGACCTTAGTAGAAATGCAGTGAATGTTTTTTGAGTAAAAGAGTTAATGAATGTGGTCTTAATATCAGGATTCATGAAAGAGTCAGAGGGTGTGGTAGCCGAAATATTCCAAGTACTTCAGAGCTCATTGTCTCTATAAGATGTCCCCTCCACGATTTTTCCTTAAACCATTTTTCATGATTGGCAGGCAATATTTCAATAAAATGAAATAATTATAGTAGTCTTCTTCCTCAGTTTTGCTTTCTGCCATTTCAGTTACCTGCAGTTGACTGCAGTCCAAAAATATTAAATGGAAAATTCCAGAAATAAACAATTCGAAAGACATTTTGAGAAACAGAGACCACATTCACATAACTTTCATTACAGTATACTGTTATGATTGTTGTTTTATACTGCTGTTAATCTTTTATTGTGTCTAATTTATAAATTAAACTTTATCATAGGTATGTATGTATAGGAAAAAAACATAGTATATAAAAGGTTTCGTACTATCTACAGACTCATTGAAACGATAGGATACTCCTAGCATCCAGGAAACAGGTGGGAGCTACTGTAAGGAAAGTGATGTTTGCATGTGCACAAAGGAGATGAGAACAAGGACTGAAGTTTATTGGTACTAAGAAATTAGCTATTGCAATGACAAAATGATTGTGAGATGCTAAGCCAGTCTTCTTCTTTTCTTGGCATCTGGGTGAGAAGTAAGTCATGGCCAACTCCAACCAGTCTCATTGGACCTCTGTGCCATCTCACACTTCTGGATGGGACGCCATGGAATCCCTGGGCCCTCTGAATAGAGTCCTGGGGAGCTGTGCAAACTGCCCAGGGGACTATCCATCACTGGCATCTCTTCTGCTGCTCATGTCAGAGCCCCTCAAAGCCTCTATTATGGTGGGGAATGGCACAGCTGCATTTGAACTTGCTCCTTTTCCTGAAGCTTAAAATCTATGCATCCATCTTCTTGTCCTAGAATTTATAACCTCAAGTCAACGTAGACATTCCTGTAACCCTTGATGTCTTTAAACTTGTTGCTCCTCAGATTAGCTTGGATCTGCCTTTGGCCACTCTTGAAGGGGACAGTCTTTAGAGTGATGCTGGCCCTGTGTTGGGGTCTGAGGACTCCAATGCTGCAGCAGAGAAAGAAGAATGTCAAAAATCATACGCAATATGATCACTCCGAAACCGTTTTCCACTCAGCAAGCTGGTTTCTCCTTTCCCAGTGTTCTCAGAGCCTGGTCTGAGGGCCCATGTCCAGAAAGAATAGCATCAACCCCAGGATAAGACAAGAGTAAAGGCTGAGCACCCCCAGCACTCACATAACTTTCTGCTGCTTCTTGAAGAGACCACTTCCTTCCACAGTCAGCACACAGTCTGCGACCTGCTCTGAGAGGGGGTTTGAAAATATCACCTGTACGGAGAGTGGCTGATTCACAACGGCTACTCCTAGAACCTAAATAGAGAATTCCAGAGGAGAGGAAGGAGCAGAGAATTAGTCTCATTTTCCAATTCACTACACTTTCATGAAGGGCATTGTTCCCTAGATCTATTTTCTGAAGAGCTGGACTTCCATGGCCTGTGTTTTTCCAACTATGAGTTAAAACCGACTTAATAGATTGTCATCGCATTTTTTAAAAAATGAAATAGAAGAAAATATCACTGCACAATACACAAGATATAGTTATGTGAAACTTTTGTTTCATTTATACATGTATGGATGTTTGTGTAAAATATTTTACATCACTAGACCCAGCATATGGAAAAGTCTTATGAACTGGGTGCCTCCCGTGATGTTTCCTCTGCTCCAAGGATTATATATCCAAGCGTTAAATAATCAATAGCTCCTAAAGGATTCTCATGCATAACTTGAGTAGATAGAATCTTCTTTGGCACTTTCTTCATGTTGCATTTCTACCCGATCCCTTCCACCATTACCACCACCACCTCTTTTCATAATTGGCTCAATTCTTTTCACACCAATCTGAGTAAAAAACTCATTCAAGGCTGTAGAGGCAAGGAAGTAGCCTCAGGAAACCCTCCCTAAAATGGACTCCTGTGGCTGGGCTTGCCACATGCACCCCACCAGGGGGCACCACAGGCTCACTTAGCAGAATTTGGGAGTTGCATGGCCTTGGGAAGACGGCACTTAAAGGAAGGGACCTATGTAAGTCCTCCAATTCTGAGGACCACAGAACGTCAGAGCAGGAGGTGTCTTCAGAGTACATCTAGTCAGGAGGTGTCTTCAGAGGCCATCTAGTCTAATCCTCTCATGTGACAGTTCAAGAAGCAGAGGCCCAGGGGCTTGTCCAAGGATGTACAGTCAGGAAATGCCAAATCAAACTTGAGCTGACCTTCAGGCAGTGTTCTCTCCCTACTCAAGTCCCTCCCATTTGAGCACATATTGACCCTGGGGAAGGCCAACAATGGGAGGTGGCATGAGAGAGGGACCTCTCCATGGCAGCTGCTCAAGGTCCGCCCATAAGGCCACTAATGGTGCCAGAGGATGGAGACCTCACCCTGTGATTTCAGGTAAACCTCCTGATTCAGGTAGAAGGTATCTGGAAGCACCAGAAGAGGCAGAGGAAAGAAGGGCCTGCTCTCTTGAGCAGGCTCTCAGAGGGTTCCACCTCCTCCCAGCTGACCCCAAGTAGCCCTCAGGCCACTTGCAGGGCTCTTGCCTACATTAATCATGATGGCGGGATAGGCTAAGGTGATGATCTTGTCCACTAGGATCTTCTTGGGATAGCTCTTCTCTTCTCCGAGGGCACTGATGCGGATCAGCTTGTCTGTTGATAAGTACTGGCTGTATTGGGAATAGGGGATTTGGCAGGGATGAGTCTTTGCTAGGGAGAGAACACAAGGATGAGGTGAGACTAGTTGGGGAATCCGCTGGGCCTGCTAGATCTGGGAACCCATTTATAGAGAGGAGAAAGCCAACATGTGCTATGCCCCAGTAAAGTTCAGTCAGAGTCTGAGAAGCGAAATGGCTTGCCCAATTTCATTCTTCTGGCAAATAGATGAGCTGAGTCTCTAACTAAAGTTTAGATGACTCCAAAGCTCAGGTTCTCCCCTACAAAAGCAGGCTACTTCTTGGGTTTAGTAAAGGAAGGATAGGAAGAGGAATAGGAGAAAAGAGAAAGAGAGAAGGAAGTAAGGAGAAAAGGAGGAATCTGTGCTGGGGGAAAGACTAGCGTCACAGGGGTCAGCCCTCAGAATCCTTGTTTGGCCAGCTTGATGCCACTGGCATTTCCATAACTCACTCTGTGTACACAGAGTCCCCATGCCCATACCCAGAAGCCCATACCTTCTTCAGGAGAGAGCGTGATGAAGGCTGTGTCCTGCCAGAATGGAGGCAGGGGGCTTCCATCATGCATCAGAGACTGGGCGCTCAGGTTAACTTTGAGGTCCTTGAACTGGGGTGACATGTTGAGGGCCAGCAGGACAAACTTTATGTTTTGGCCCATGTTGGGTGGGTCGAGCAGCTGAAGTTTCAGGGAAACCTGGATAACATCACTGGGCCGAAGGGAAGGTGAATCTGAGCTTCGAGGACCATAGTGGCTCAGATGCATGGGACTGGAAGGTGACAAGTCTGCTCCGTAGGGGCCTTGGGAGCTTCCAATCTTCAGCTTCTGAAGAGCCTTCAGAAACACTTTCCTCTCCTGAGGAGAACCTGGGAGGGCAGAGACAGTACCAGCTGTGGGCCAGGCTGGCCCAAAAGCTAAGCCATGGTTGTACTTCCTTCTCAACAGCCTCCCCAACGCTGCAGGGGTGCTAAAACCCTCGTTTCTAACAACAAACACTCCCTACAATTCATTAGGTGCTTTCTAAGTGTCAAACTCTACTGAGCACTCACTCCTTTCACCCTCACGTCAACCATGAGAGAGATGTATTATTATTATTATTATTATTATTATTATTATTATTATTATTATTAATCCATCTACAGATGTGGAAAACGGGCCTCAGAGAGGTCATGTCAGTTCCCAAGTCATACAACTTGAAAGGGGCAGAGAGTCCAGGTGGAAATCAAATCCACCCACCTTGAAAATCTGTACTCATGACTACTAGACTATCCTGCCTTCCTTATGGGAAAGAAGAAGGCCCACAAATGCAGAAAATAAGCCCCTTAAAGACAACAGGGCATGGTATGATTTCCAGTTCCAGAACCAAATTATTGGTCTGATCCACATCTCACTGGGTCCTGGGAAAACCGAGAGGCCACAGTGAGGAAAAAAAAAAAGAGGAAATTCAGTCAAGCAGAGTTCCTAGAGCTCCCCGACCTCAGTCCTGGGGAGGCTCTGCGGCTGGGATGTGCAGGAATACTCCCAGGATGTGCAGGAATATGCCCCATGCTTCACTAATAATCCAGCAGCTGCCTTTACTGACCACTTACTGTCTCCAGGGCCCAGCCTCACCCCAATAGTGCATCTTCACAGCCTCCCCAGGCAGAGGCCACTTTTGTCCCCTCGCTCTGGATGTTTTCTAAGCCCTGTTCCAGGCAGAAGAGGATCTTGAGACACTGGCTTCGGTAAGAGTGGACCCAGTGAGATGTGGATCAGATTTAGCTCATCCATTGTCTGTTCCACCCCCAGATCCTGTCAAGCTGCGTGGGAGGAGACAGAATACTGCCAGACTGAGCAGCACACTCAGGCCCACTGGAACATAGCTCCAAACCCCTCCAAGTTCACAGAGGAAGCCTGTGGACCTTGTAGCAATGCTGTCAATGCCCCGCCCACACTCCCTTGGCACTTGACATTTCGGTGCCACCTGCTTTAATTTCAAATTCTAGCCTTGCTACTACTCTTTGTCTGAGGCTTTCTCTGCCAGCAGAGTTGACTCTGCCCAGGCGTGGGGCAGACCAAAAGTGCTCAGGAATTTACACCCTCTAGGAGCAGCCCTCAAGCCCTCACCAAATAAATAGCCTAGCTCCCTTGGATAAATAGCCTAGCTCCCTTGCCTTTTGGGTGGGATAAGGCTGTGGTATTGTTCTACAGTTTACACTGAATTACTGATGGGGTGGCCAGATTTAGCAAATAATAATACAGGGCCATTTAGTTTGAATTTCAAATTAACAAATAATTGGGGACATGGTTAGACTAAAGCATTATTCATCCTATATTTTCCACAGCTACTCCCCTGGCAGAGGTCCCTAGTAGGACTGAGCTCCAGCTGCCCATGGTGCTAACAGGCTTGATGAGGCACCCTGCACAGGCTTCCTCCCTTCCCTGTCTTGCTTACTCACTCTCCTTCCTTCCATTAGATCCTTGCCTCAGGATCTGATTCTGGGCATCCCAACCAAGATAATAGAGGTGGAGAGGGTGATGGATAGACTGCTGGGCTTGTCTTTTGCTGTGTAGCCCTTTCCTAGGCTTGGATTATGGAGCTTCTCTGTGTTGGCCCACAGAGATGAACCACAGATACCTACATGCCAGCATTTTCAGCAATTGCTCAGCTACCCCTCTCCTCTAGCCACTGCTCAGATCCTGCCCTTCACCCAGCTTCTGACCCTCATGAACTGGTTATTTTTAGCTTGGCTCCCTGTGGTTGAACCTGGTGGTTAGTCTTCCTCAATTTCCAGGAATTTAGCTGCCGCTTTGCCCCTGCTGGCTTGGGCAATAAGCCCCTGTTAGGTATCCCACCTCTCAGAATCATCTTCTGCAAAGGGTGGGCATAGAAGTGAACATCTGGCCTTATGTCAGCCTTGGCACCAGCTGGTGGTCTGACCTTTTCTGCACACACTCAATAAAATACAGTGAATTAAACAGTAAGTTAAGTAATATTAATTAAATTAATTAATAAGAGAGTTTACTAAGTTTCCCACTACCTTCAGTAGGAGGCTGACTTTTGGGGAAGGCAGGGACAAGAATTCATATACTGTTGGTGAGATGTCTGTCAATGACCCCACAGTCAACACGAACATCTGTGGAGGTGCTCAGATGTGGGACATGGGGTGGTATTGGCATGAGGAAGTGAGGTAGTGGGGACGCCTCAACTGGGACCTTAAAACCGAAGAACCAAGGAAACAGTGGACCTGGGTCCTGCCCAGCAGATACCCTCTAGTTCCCCAGAGGCCTGTCCCAGTTGGCTGGGGAGGGGAGGGGTGTCTCTGGAGTAGGGGGAAGGCATCCATCCACAGGATTTGGACTCTGAATGGAGCTGGCTTAGTTGTACCTTCTTCATACTTGTACTTCTCCGTGATGTCATCCCGCTCATCACTCTGGATGCTCTTGGTGCTGATAAAATTGCCAACAGAATTTGTGTCTCGATGAAGTCTCTGCTCCTTTCCTCCACGGACAAGCCAGGACACACAGTCAGCATTCACCATGGAAAAGACAAAGGCCGTGTCGTAGTTCAGATCCACCTCTCCCTCTTTGATGGCTCTGACAGAGGCAGGGCCGCAGCAGTAAAAGCCTGAAGGAGAATGGAAAAGCCATGGTGGGCCTTGGCTGCAGGGACAGTCAGGGGCAGGGGTGGTTTCCGTGGGAGTGGGTTCTGCCTTTCTACTGAAGAGCCTCACCGTTGCTTGTCTCCTGAGGTGTAGCATCCAGCACCTGCCAGCCTCCATATCCAGGAAGGAGGTCGTTTCGGGCCATCCAGCACTCATTCCAGACGTGGAAATTCCTGAAGGAGAAGCCAGAGGAGCCAGTGTCAAAGGAAGCAATGGGAGTTTGTAGTGCTTCTGTTTCTGGAACAAGGCATGGGAGGATGAGTGAATGGACTGCCAAATAGAAAGACAGACTTAGATCCCTCTAGGCCTGTGGGTGAGTAGTGACAGCTCTTCCTCCTGTGAGCCTAAACCTGCTTTAAAGAAGCTTTCTTCTGTTTGTGAAATGAGAACGAAGGCTTCCAAAACCAACTGAAGTTAAAAATCCTTCACTCTCTCTCAAAAAGTTTCTCGTGATCCTTTCCTGTATGTGCTGCTGACTCACAGAGGCAGTCATGGTCTTTGTGTCTGGAGGTGAGACTTCAGGCTCTCCCGCGGTCACAGGCTGAGTATTAAATGAAGGTGACAAAGGGGAAAACCTCACCCAGGGCAGAGAGCTCTTGTGATGTGAGGATTCTAAACTCAAAATCATTGATTTTGTTCAGCTGTGTTCCAGACTTAGGATTGGGGATACCAAGCCCAGGGACTGATGAAAGTGGGGGTGGAGTCCTAAGCAGGCAGCAGGCTCATAGGCACAGTCCCGCCCTACCTCCTGCTGGTGGGGTTTGCCCTAGAAAGAGACTGAAAGGTTGTCTCTCACCAGACAGTGTCTTTCTTCTTATTCTTCAAAATCCTGCCTGTGTTGTCATAATACTCATCTATGATCAGGTTTCCATCTGTGTCGTGGCCAGAGTCAAAGTTGGTGACCACTCGGGTGGGGATCCCCAGGCATCTCATCACTGCAAAAAGTACAGAAAATCTTTTGTGGGTTGTGGATCCAGGAGCTCTATGGATTCCTGGACTTGAGACCTTGGGCCCAGGGAAATCATTCATTTGGCACTTTCAGGACCAAGCAGGAGCTGTTTGGGGCGCTGGTTGGTGTTGCTGCCAACTTCCCTGCCCACCTTCCTGAGCTCCTCTCTCTGGGATCACAAACAAGACTTTATGCAAAGGCTGCTGGTTGCTCTGATAAGCACTGCCAGGGCCAACAGAAAGTCTAGCAAGGTTCAGATTCTCCTGCCTGGACCAGCAGAGTGGGATAGGCATACCTCCTTTGACAAGACTCTGGCCTGACTGGGTCTCACTTCTCTCCCAGACATAAATCTCCATCTTTAAGCCAAATAGCTGAAATGTTTTCTTTCCTGTGGCAAGGATTGTTGGCTGAGAACATCAGGTTCTTAGGCAAAGAGTTCTGTGGCTTAGATCTCCCTTTTTCTAGGGGTGTATTTTCTTAAAAGCATCTCAAGGAAAGCATCACAGATCCAGCCAGGAAAATGTGTAACAACAGCCTAGAAAAGCAAGTCTGTACTTGGTGGAGAAATTCTGAAGAAGAGGTTAAATGTTGTCTTTATTCCTGGAGGAGCATCCCTTCCAACTTCTTTTCTTTGTCCTCTGCCATATTTTCCCCCTTCTGCACTCTTTTAATAACAGCAATATCCCCCAGCCCATCCTGCCACCAATGCCCCGGGGATCCCTGTCCTCCCAAGTCCAACAGTGACAGCCCATCCAATTCGATGATAATAATAATAATTATTATTAAAATTATAATATCTACCAGCAGGCATGTTGCTGTTTTACATACATTATGCTCAGGACAACTCTACATGAAAGCTGCTGTTATTATCCCCACTTTATAGATGAAGAATCAGAGGCTAAGAAAAGTTGGCTTACCCTCACCAAAGTCACACAGCAAGGAAGTGACACAGCTATCCCTCAAATCCTGGTTTCACTGCTAAGCTTATACTTAATTCTGAGGCCACCTCCCAGTATCATACACATAGTTCAGCGTTCTAGTATTTTTGTCATATTATGTATCCGAAGCATTTTCCTGTGCTATCAAATATTTGCCAAAAACAGGATTTCTAGTGGTGATTATTTTTAGATATTTGTTGGTTTCTGATTTTTTCCCTGTCGTAAATAATGCTGTGATGAACATCTTTGTAGATCAGTCCCCTCACCCCCACCACCTTGGGACAGATTCCAGGAATTAAAATGACTGAGTCAAAAATATAGATATTTCTAAGGGTTCTTCACACAAACTACTGTCATTTTTTTTTAAATGTTCATAGTCTTTACTTTAAATATTTATATCAAACATTTAATTGCTTATAGATTTTAGTTCAGGCTCCTTTTTATACTTTGACACAAAGCCTCTCTCCAGGCCAGGGTGTGGACACACTCTTGGATGTAGGCCAGGACAGGGAGGAGAGAAGCCCAAAGGGGAACCTGGAGTTCTCCTTGGAGTGGCAGGTCTGCACAGGGCCAAGGAACAAAGGCAGGGAGTGAACAGAGCTGACAAGCGAGTTATAGGTGGAGGTGACACAGGACAGTCTCAGAGGGGAGGGTGAAGGTTGGAAGAGCTGTCACTGAAGGAACATGAGACAGGAGTGAGGCAAGAGCTCATTAAATTTGTGTTGCAGTGAGTTGTCTTAAACTTGTGAACGAGGTTTCTGCAGAGTATCACTCCTCATGATTCACAGTTTGATATGTGACTCAGGTAACTCTTTCACTGACAATTTTGTGCGAGCTGAGTCCCTTGTAAAAGAGAAACCCATATGAGTATATTTGTATGTGTGCGGAAAAAGGTGGACAAGATCTCAGAGTCAGAAAAGAACTGAAGTGTTCCCAAGGTATATTATACAATGCCACACTCCTAGCATGAATTACTATGTCTCTTCACTCAGCATTTAGCACATATTCAGTGACAAGTGTCAAGCTGCTGCAATGAACCAGGCAGTGAGTTAGATGCAGAGTATATAAAAATAAAAGACATTCCTGCCTTCAAGGAGTGTAGCTTCATTTCTGACTCGTGGTGGACACTGTCCTGATGGTGTGTTAAAACTTGTGATCTATTTCAGAACTGGCCGTGAAGGCTTCTCATAAGTTCTTCCCCTTCACCACCACTCCTGCCTCCTCATGTGGAATGTAACTCCAATTTTATAAGAGAAATGAGTGGAAAATTAGAGTTCAATTTATTTATTTACTGGAAGTCACTTGGTTACTTTTGCTACCATACTTCCATGGCTTACATTGAAGAATACAGTCAAAACTCTAATAGAGTCAAAGTAATTGCATTTAAATATGATGATTTTTAACATCTTTTAATTCTTCCTGGATGCACTAAGCTTCCAAGAGGTGAAAGTATCACTTCCTGCTACCCCTACCATGCCTTTAATTGTCCCCTGTAAGAAGATGGTTATATTGCCTTGGTCTTTCAGATGTCATCATGAAGTCATATTTGAACTGTTCTCTCCTTTCTGCAGTGACAATGAAACCTAAAACTGATCTTTAAAAAAGCCTTAAAAAATAAAATAAATTTGTAATAAAGCCTATTTTAAAAAATTACAAACATGTAAAGAAGCAAGAATATATGACCCATAATCAGGAAAAATATCAATCAATAGAATTAGATTCATAAATAACAGAGATAATGGAATTAGCTGACAAGGACCTTAAAACAGCTATTTAAAATACTATAAATATGGTCAAGAAGAAGTAAAGAAAAACATGAATATAATAAGAAAAATAGAAAAAAGACCCAATGGAACATCTAAAGGTGAAAAATATAATCTATAAAACGGAAAACATACTGGACAAAATATTGCACAAAGATAACAGTGCACTTTTTTGTGAGAACACATTCAAATACAATGCTGCATATTAAACACATCAAAATGTTTCTCTATCATGGGGGGAGGTGAATAGAAATGGGTTATGAGATAAATAGGGCAGGGAAATCAATTGATTAGTTAATTAGTTGTTTAAAAGAGAGGCCCGAAGCAGACCTATTATGATACATGTCATGGCATGAGAAATATGATTAATTTAATTCTAAACACTCCAAGAAACAAAAGAAGGAAATAAAGTTGAGAAGTGGTAGAGCATAGAGAACTGATGTTTGGGGGATGGCTAGAAATACCTTTTAAACGAGAGCCAGCCCGAACTTTGGAGCCTAAGAGGCAGAATTTTAAAAGTATCAGTCTAATTATTATAGTTAATAATAATATAGTTATGTAAAAGTTACCATGTGCCAGGTATTTTTCTAAGGCTTGCCATATATTAACCCATAACCCTGTGAGGGAACATTCCATGTAATCTTTGATGTCTCATAATAAATCAAATGGAAAATAATGGTAGATTTGTGTTTAAGCCAAAGATTGAGACAAAATAACACACTGGTGCCCTGACTGAAGTTCTTTGGTTGAGAGGAAAGGGCTCAGTAAAAATAATGAGGACAAGAGTTATTATACTGGAATGAAGATAATGAGATAATTTATAGAGATTATTATACAAACAAGTGAGAAGAATTCTTAGATTAGTTTTGGGTGAAGAAAGGAGGGCCCAGCCCCAAACACCCAGCCTCTTCGTCTCTACACCATATCCTGCCATGACTCTGGGCCCAGGATCCAATTTTACAGAAGAGGAGATAGAGTCTCATAGACCTGCTCACAGTCACATGTTCAGAGTCTTCCGACCCTCAGCCCCTCACTTCTGCCCCCACCCCTACCTATGAAGTTGTGGGCAGGAGCTGGCCTTGACCAGGCACATTCCCAGGATGCCTGGCATTTTTTAAAAAACAACTATATTGAGATAATTTACATACCATAAAATGCACCCTTTTAGAGTGTATAATTCAGTGTTTGGTAGTACAGGTGGTATAACAATCTCCATTATCCAATCCCAGAACGTTTATCACCTCAAAAAGAAACTCCGTGCCCACTAGCAGTCACTTTCCATTCTCCCCTCACCCTAGCCCTAGGCAACCATTAGTCCACTCTCTGTCTCTATGAATTTGCCTATTCTGGGCATTTCACATATACGGAATCATACAATAAGTGGCTTTTGGACACCTGGCTTTGGGAAAAATTTTTAGGCAAGAGAACATCACTGTTCCCTCTGTTCCCTTGTTACAGTGCAAGGCTCCCAGGCTACTCCACAGACCTCAGCCAAGGGCTGAGGGACCTGACCTTGTCACAAGGAGTGGATAGCCAGAACAGGAAAAGCCTGATGACTGAGAGCTGATGAGCAGCTGGCCCTGAGCATAGGAAACGTAGGCCAAGGATTTTTCTGAAATTTCCAAAATAATGCTCAACTAAATGGATGTCAAGGAAACAGCCTATCCAAAAATTATAACATTATCTTTGATGCATCCAAAGTCTCGTTTTTGTGTGTGTGTGATTTTTCTTTAGGAAGTTGAAATCAATATGTTGACATTGAAAGGCAATACTGGGAGGCAGAGCTGCTAGGGTTGGAGAATCTACTTCTAAATCAAACGAGAGTCACATGGTCACTTTAAACCTCAGTTTTCTCATCTGTAAAGTGACGGTATTGATATCTACTTTGCAGGTGGTCGTGAGGATTAAAAAAAGGAAAAGTGCCCAGTGAGTGCCTGAAGTATGAGGAATGCTGGATAAATGGCAGCCACCAGGAGTTTGCACAGTATATAACCTAGTGGTTAGAGCCAGCCAGACCTGGATGCGAGATTGACTCTGCCACTCAATTTCTTCATCTGCAAAACTGAGATAATGATAAAACCTACCTCCTAAGGTCATTTGGGGGATCAGACTAGACCATTCTACTTGATACTGAATACTTGCTGTAGCCAGGCTCTAGTCTAAGCATTCTCCATGTATGAACTCACTCAAATCCTTTCAATAACTCTGCAAGGTAGGTACTATTACTTTCCCCGCCATATGGCTGAGGAAACTGAGGAACATGTTGAGTGACTTGCCCAAGGTTACTCAGCCAACTAATTATAGTGCTGGTATTTAAACCCAAGCAGTCTACCTCCAGAACCCTCGTATGCTTCACCATTACTCTAGGCTGTCAAGATTTTAACACAATTCCTAGCACAAAGGAAGTCCTCAATAAATATCAGCTATTGTGATTGTGAAACAAACAACAACAACAACAACAAACGTGCTTTGGCAGCTGAATTGGGTTAAGGAGTTTGATCTACTCCTAACTTTTAATGGAAGATAGAGACTGGGTCTTACTCATTTTTGTACTCAAAAGTATTTGAAGCACAATGCCTAGCATATAATAAGTATTGTTGGATAAATGAATGAGTTTTTCAAACTGATATATTTCTAATATACAACATAGTAGCTCTTTTGGGGAAGACTGGTGCTGTCTGAGCTACATTTGACCCACTTTGCCCAACCCTCTGCTTCCCAAGTCACTAAAGGGCCATAATTCTCATGAACATTTTTATTGGTCTGCTCTCCTTACATAATCTCCATTCTCTGGCTCTACCTCTGTCATCACCCAGTTCCAGACAAGTGCACCCAAACCCCTGGCCCTCTCCTTCTACACACATATCCCTGGCCCATTAGATTCTAGGCTTTCCCATGCACAAGAAGTTTCCCTCTCTATCGTGTACAAGATCGATCCATTCTGTCATTCTTATGCCTCCTCCCTGGATGATTCAGACATCCCAGTTCACCCAAATGTCTGTCATTTTGTGTATCAAAGCTGTCAAATTCTTGATTTCTTATCCAAAAAACAGGGATTCTTTGAGCAATCGAAGCATCCAACTCAAGGTGGGTGTGTGCAGCTGCATGGGAGTAGCTTAGGGCTTCCTCCTCACCAATCCGTGTGAAGTCACCCACTGCGGGTGTTGACGGAAACCTCCTTGTGCCCTTGGACAGAGGCCTGGCCCTTGCTCAGCAGCCCACGGCTCTCTAGGCTCCCTCCACGAGCCCGGAGCTGCAGTGCACACATGCACACAGACTGCACCAGGCCTTGTCTTAAAGGGAATTTCTACGTGAAAGGCCTCGGTTCTTAATAAATACCAAGTTGTGGACAGATCTGGTCTCGCTGGATTGGACTGGAGAGTGCTGTGAGCGAAAGCCATACTTGGCATCTTCCCCCTTGGCATGGATATGCATGCCAGGAGGCTGAGAGCCAGCCTAGGCAGGGGGGCAGGGTGAGGGTGATGGCCAGGAGCAAGAGTTGGTCCTCGGTGAGGCAGAGTTCTCCTCCTGCTACCTCCACATGCCACATGCAAACCAACTTCCATTTACTTTCTTTTCCTGTGCCTATATTTCAACTTTTCTTCTACTAATGTTGCATCCACTCCCTATCTGAAAACATGACCTCCCATTTCCTCCCACCTTGTAATTCTCTGGCCTGACCCAGGCCTCCAGGCCCTCTGAACTTGTGACAACTCCAAATTCAAGGTTATCATACTTCAGCTGCCATCTTGTTCTAACCCCATGGCCCATATCACTGCTCAGATGCACATTTCCCTCTCATATGAACAACTTCACTAAAACCATTCTCCGTGCTAACCAGTTTGTAAGTTTTCTAATTACTCGGTCTCTCATCTCATTCCTATCTTTTATCAGATAATTTTCAGTCAGGTTCTTAGGAATATTCTGTTAGGCTATCCACAATCAGAAGACTGGAAGGGCACCGGGTTCTGGGAAGTGTGTGATTTCTACCTTAGAACCATCCTCTGAAATAAGCCTAGAGGTTATGTGAAGATATGTGAAGCCTAGAGGTTAGTGATGAGACATTTTTGCTGGAGAGGGCTTCTTTCCAAATGTCCCTTTGTGGGAACCGTGTAAGTTGGAGACAAGAGTTATTCGGAGGGCTAATACATGAGCCATTGCATTTTCATGAGGAACTTTCTACTCCCTACCTGTGCACATGATGGCTGCAAAGACCCAGCACTGCCCATAGCGCACTGGCTGGCAGCCTGTGGCATGCCATTGTCTCAGGATGGCCACGCTGCCGGTCCACTCTGCAGGATTGATGCCATCTGAGTAATTCTCACTCCATCTTCCATTGAGCACCCCATTGTCATCATTGCTGTTGATCTGAAGAGAAACCATATATAGAAGAATTAGTAGCATCCTTTTCCTCACCAAATTTGATGTGTGGGCTACTTTGCAAGGCCCATGGGCCTGAGACACAGAGGAGACTTTGATCTACTTTTACCTGTGAATTTCTAGACCTGCTGGGGGAGGAGTCAGGGTGGGAAGCTAGCTATTCTGATTTGTGCTCCACTGTTAACTAGTTTATTATTTATTTCTACACACACCTTTAACCCCCACCTCCCTATCCCTTGCAAACCTAGAGCTTGGCTCTGAGAGCTTTTAAAAATACTTCAGAGCAAAGGAAATTTAGAAACAGTAAGACCATTTCACAAACCAGAGCTACATTCAGCCTTTCCCAAAACATGCAATTTGGAATTAATAGAGGTGAGGGCCTACATCCAGCTATTTCAGAGCTCAGTTAAGAAAACCTGTTAGCCAAACTCTTTCATTAGTCTTATCTAAAATGGCTTTGCAAGAGGGCCCGTGCCTCTGAACAATTCATTCTCCCATTGCCCAAGGGCAACTGCGAATGGTCAGGGCTTTCCCAGCACAGCTTTCTCCCACCCCGGACATACCCTGGGTGGACAAAGCCAGACCCAAGCTCACCATGGCACACACCACTCTGCTGATATAGACGGGGCTTCCCCGCAGGGCGCAGTCCATGGCTGGGTCACTCTGGAAGTTCAGGCTCTTGTCTAGCAACTCCAGGCAGATGTCTATGATATTCTCTTCAAACTGCAAGGGGAAATGCAGAGAGGCAAGGCACTCATGCTTGGCACATGTAGATATGGAAAGAGATACATGAGCCACCCAGCTCTCCAATGGAGTGTGTCTGTGGAATATAGACCTATTTGGAAGATAACTATGTCCAGTAGCACAGCCATGAACTGGCTACTGGGCAGGTGCAGGGTCTCAAATCTCTGGGGTCACAGTTTTTATGTCCTGAATGTCAAATCCCTGGAATTTTTTCCAATGTGTCTGACTGGCTGAAAAGTCTATTTCTCCTTTTTCTCTCCTCAATCCCCACACTCTTGGAGCTCATGGAATGTTCTTGTTAAAATCGCACTGCCTCTTCTTCCACCCCCAGCTTAGCATTGGCAGCTACTGGTGAGGTGATGGTGCCAGCTTGCAATGGTGCCTGTGATTCAGTGGGGCTGTAGACTGACTAATAGCATGTGAGTTATGGAAACTTCCCACCCAAGGCAGGCTGCCTCCCATCCTTTAGGCTGGGTGTGAATGCCACTTCTTCTGAGGCTTTCCCTGAGCCTGAGCCTGGTTTAGCTCCATAGCCCTGGCTACAACTTTACTCATCAGACACAATTGTAATGACGTAGTCGAGGTCTGCCTTCCCTGCCTGTGTGTATGCTCCGTCTCTCTCCAGCTCTTCTTGCAACTCAACACCTTCTTGCAACTCTACAACTCTACAGTGTCCAGCACATTATAGAGATTCTGTGCATCTTTGTTGAATGAGAGTAAATGAATAAATTGATTCCATGTAATGCTGAACAATAAACAAGATTAGGAGGCTTCTCTGATTCATCTTCCCCAGGAGACAGTTTGATCAGTTCACTTTTCTGCTTTAAAATGTTCAAAGGCCCCTATGGCCTACAGAATCAAAGTACTAACCTCCTCTACAAATCACACAAGACCGTTCGATTTCTCTAGCCTAGTGTCTCAATACCCCCTGCCTCACCAATTTTGCTCCAGCAATACCAGATTCCTTGTAACCTCTGCAGTAGGCTAAACTGTTTTTCGCCTTTGTGTCTTTACTCATTCTTTCCTCTGCCTGGGATATTTTCCCTGCCTTCCCGCAATTGGCACGCTCAGTTCAAGCGTCTCCTCTTCCGAGAAGCTTCCCTGACAGCCTCATGCCCAGCCAAGTGCTCTTGCTTCAGGCTGCCAGAACACCCTGTGCCTGTCTGGCAATCTTTACATATCATGTTGTTTATATGACTGAGTTCCTACTACACTGTGGGCTCAGGGGCAGTGTTTTATTCATTATTATATCTGTAGCACCTAGAGCTCTGCCTGGCACTGAGCAGGTATTCAACGTATGTTCATTGAATAAGGGGGAAGGGAGAGTGGAACCTGGGGCTCAGAAAGCAGCAACTTCTCACTTCTGTTTCTCATAGATGACAACAGACTCCTATAGGGGTGCTTTCGAGGATCCCCATCTGCCCATGCTGAGTGAGGGGTTGGGGATGTCGGTTTGGGCCAGTTGAGGCTGCCATGTCTCATCTTGACTATATCTACCTAGGCTGGGCCTCAGGGCGCATGTGTCGGACAAGTCCAGGAGAGGAACCCATATCAAACTGATACAAGACTCCACAAGCACCCCTAGGATTTCCCAGCCGACACCCTTTCTGGGCAGCCGGGGCTGGTCCTCTCTCCTGAATAGCGTTCTGGTGCTGGGGCTCAGCCTCAAGAACCCTCTTCCCTGAATTGGTCCTGGACTTCCTAGAGTACCTGCTAGAGGCCGAGCTTTACACAGGAAGCAGGCTTTTGGCAAGACAGAAGTTACAGAGCATTGTGATTAATACGATGCTCTTCTAACAAATAAAATCACGTTTTTAGAACATGTGTGGGAAACAAAATGTAGAGGAACATATACCACACTGGAAACACAGTTAACAAAAAAATGGGCACCATTATGGCCGCTGTCACCGTTGTCACTTCATCTTCACCGTCAAACTCAGTGGAATCCCTGGGTAAGTACCTTTAGCTGCCCTTCCTTCTCTAATCCTATTGTCCAATTCAGACATGATCAGCATAGTACACCTTCCAACTTTCTATGGCTGCTCCTCTAGCTCCCTGGGATCATATTGCACATCCTTCTGGTGCCATTTAGTTCCCATTTGTCAGCAGTTCTGGAGGAATTTTGCTTAAGGGGCACCCTCCCAGATCCCCTCCGGCTCCCCTCTCCCCTGAATGGTTCATGAGCGGGGCTGAGACTCACTTGTCCGTAGTTCCAAGGGCAAGGGCGGATCCAGTTCTTGTTCCCTTGGTAGACGAAGCCGTAATCATTCATGACATACTCCTGCCTCTGGGGCTCACTGTCCAAATAGACAGTGTCCTCTAGGAATCAAAGTGGGAAAACACAAAGCAGAAAGGTCATCTTGCCCTTCCTGCCCATTCCCATCCCAAGGAGGCACAGTGCCATGGAAACTGAGCTCTGAGGAGGGCACTGGATGATAAGAGGGGCAGCAGAGGGTAAGTGTCTCTGGGTAGGTCTAGGAAAGACCTACTCTCCACCATGCCTCAACATCAGCAACAGGCTCAATGTGAACATCAAGAGGAATAGTAAAAATTTACCTTTGGTGGAATTTCTTGTTTTGCAAAGCACATTTACATCCTAGCCCCCATTTTAAGGTTGAGAAAACAGGCTCAGAGTGATAAATAATTTGTCCAAATCACACATGAATTCTTAATTTTAAAAAGATATTTTTAATATCAAAAAGCAACACATATTCATTCCAGAAAATCTAGAGAATGCCAATAGGCAAAAAAGAGGAAAGAGGTGCATCGAAATAGTGGAGAAATTGTAGCCGTTAAAAAAAAAATGTACTGCTAGGAAAATACGTCCAAAGTTGAATTTTTAAATGAAAAAAGCAAGTTAGAGCATGATCTGTATAAAATAATCCCCTTCGTGTTATGCGTTGTATAATCACATACACACGTGCATAAATACGTATTTGGTTAAGCACAGAACATTTTCGTAAGGCTGCACAGGAAAAGGCTAACAGTTTTGTTCTGGACAATGGAACCTGGAGATTGGGGTAAGGTTTCACTTTTTGCCTTGTCCTTTCTTTCTTTTATTTAATTTTTCGTTCTGCGTTGTTTTGCTCTTTATTCCATTCCACAATGCACTTATCACTCTTAAATGAAGAAACTCGAGTTGACTTGAAAATGTATAATAAAGGTAAATGTTAATAGTGTTCAAATTTAATTATAATAGTTTTCCTTTTAAGTAAAGATAACTTGGTTTATAATTTTAAAATTTTAGATAAGTAAATAAATAGCAAGTTCTCCCTGCCCTACTTGTTGGTGGTCGAAGGGTAATGCTGACTGCATGGGATTGGGGAGATTTTTGGTTTCCCAGGGAGCAAGGGTGTAGAAATCCTTGAGCCTGGCTCTCTGAGGCATTGACAAAGGGGCAGAGACAAGGGAATCCCACTTGGGCACTCTGCCTTACCTGGGCACCAGGGATTGAAGAGCAGAATGAACTCTCCAAGCTGATAGGCTGTGACAGACCCCTGGAAGGAGTCGATGTGAACTTTCAAAAGGTACCGACCCATGGACGCCGTGGGAGGGGCATACAGGCTCACCTCCAGGGAGGTGGCCCTGTTGGTCTCCAGTGAGGCTATCCAAGGACTGGGACCACGATGATCTGCCAGGCTGAACACAGCTCGAGTCCCCTTGGCCAAGTCTGGCAGTGGTCCTGGGAGGGAAGCAGAGCTGAGGCCCTCTGAGGTGATCCCCCACCCCACATACACACAGCCCTGTACCAGCAGGGGTCCTCACCAGTCTCAACCACGAAGATGATATTGTCCAGGCCCAGCTGGAAGCCCCGGTTACTGAAGTACAGAGTGATGTTGAAAGCCTGACCCCGGCGAACAAGGAGGCGGTCAGAGCTTATTTCCTCTGTGTGGTGCCGCATGTTGTTCCAGGAGCTCCGGAAGTCTATGACGGACAACTCTAGCCCTAGGATGGGGCAGCCAGGGGCAGACGAAAGAGCAGGGCCATGTAGACTCGTTCAGTCCCGTCCACCACTTACCAGTTGTGGAAACTTGAGAAAGAAGCTTAGCCTCTCTGAGCCTCAGTTTCTAAGTTGGTAAAATAGAATCTATACCAGCCTTACAGGGTTGGTATGAGGATTAAATGAGGCTCCATGCATGTAAGTACTTCTTTCTTATTTCTTTCCTCTCTTCCTTCCCTGCTTCTCTGACCTTCTAGTCCACCTCCCTTCCGTCCTCCTGGAGGTGCATAGGTTTTTTCTCTCTGTTCAACTTCTTCTGTTGGCCTGACCAACTTTGCTCATTTTAGACTACCATGTCCCCAGATTTCATGTCAGCATCCACATTCTTAGATACAAGTTAAGAGTTTCACTTGTCCCTGTACCAGCCTCCAGATCTGGAACCAAGTCCCTGGGTTAGCTGCCCTTAAGTTAACTATCCCTGGATTAGCTGTTGTGCTTTTAGTAATTTTCTAGCTCTCTGACTACCACTGATGCCATGTGCCCAATGCTTCAGAAGCTGGGATGCTGAGGACAGTCAAAGAAAGGCCCACCCCTAGGCTTCTGGAACTTCTGCTAAGATACAGACTGACCTCACTGTTCTCCAAGTGTGCCTCCCCTGGAAGGAATTTATTTTGGTCCTACAATGGTCCACAGGCACCTGGGCTCACAACCTTTAAATCACAATTGGCTCACCTAGCTCCTTCTCAGCCTATGTTCATAGATATGTCATAAGTCCCTTCACTCCTTCCATTAAAATGTCTGTGATGTCCATCTGTCTCTTTCCACATTTACATAATTCTGACTTTCTCACCCTACTCCTAGTGACTGTAACAGCCTCCATCAGGTCTCCTGCTTCCTGTCTCTCCACATCACCTACCCCTTAACACGTCGCCAGATTACCTTTCCCCAAGACAATTTGAGCATGCCATCTTTTTGCTTTAAAAGTTCTAAATACGCTATAGCCCACCATACAAAAGGCACGCTCCTTAACCTGACACTTATGATCTTCCATACCTAGTCTTAACTTAAACTTCCATTCTTACTTCTCACCACTTCCAGTATGGATCTTCTCCTTCAGCCAATCTGTCCCCAAGCAAATGATAGCCTTACATGTCCATGTATTTTGATTCTGCTATAGCCCCTAGTCAGCATGCCCCTTCACTATCAATTCAAATTCTACCTGTCCTCCAATGCCTATTCAAGATCCACCTTTATGAAGCCTGTCCCAGTTGGCTCACCCTCCTTCTTACCTCGGACTGTTCTACAGCACTTAACCGCATCACTTATAGAGAAACTTAACTACTTAACTGACAAATTAATATCATGCTCATTCGTTCATTTATATCAACAAAATTTTACTGAGAGCCTACTAGTTTCGGGCTCAGCATTACATGTTAAGATAGTTTTGTAGTTATTTTTTTGTCTGTCTTCCACCTGTAGATATAAGTCGATGAGGACAGAGGCTTAGCTGTTTTGTCTCAACTGTATTTAAAATTTAAGAAATATGAACCAAAGCATTTGACAAAATCCAATATTCTTTCATAATAAAAGTACTCAACAAACTAAGAATAGAAGGAAATTTCCTCAACCTGACAAAGGCTATCTATGAAAATCTCACAGCTAACACCATGCTTAATAGTGAAAGACTAAATGCCTTCCCCACTAAGATAAGGTGGAAGACAAGGATGTCCACTCTCATTCCATCTATTCAACATTGTACTGGAAGTCCCACTAAGGTGGCTATAACAAGAAAGACAAAAAAATAACAAGTGTTGGTGAAGATGTAGAGAGATTGGAACAGTTATAGACTGCTGGTGCTATTGTAAAATGGTGCAGCTACTTTGGAAAACAGTCTGGCAGTTCCTCAAAATGTTAAACTTAGAGTTACCAAATGATCCAGCACTTCCACTCCTCAAGATTCCACTCTTATACCCAAGAGATTGAGAAAATGTTCACGCAAAATCTGTACATGAATGTTGATAGCAGTATCATTTATAATAGCCCCAAATGGTTACAACCCAAATGTCTATCAAATGATTAATGGATAAACAAAATGTGGTATACCTATACAAAGGAATATTATTCATCCATAAAAAAGGAATGCAGTACTGACACAATCCACAAATGTAGATGAACCTTGAAATTATTATGCTAAGTGAAAGAAGCTAGACACAAAAGGTCACATATTATATGATTCAATTTATGTGAAATATGCGGACTAGAAAATTCATAAAGACAGAAAGTAGATTAGGGTTTACCAGGGGTTGGGGGAGGGGAAAATGGGGTATGACTGCTAATGGGTAAGGGGTTTTTTATAAAAGAAATATAAGCATAATGATCAGCACATTGGAGGTATTAAAAAATGTTTGCTAGGTTGAATAAAATTCTCAATATTTTGCATAATCACCCCATACTTATTTCCGATTTCAGATTCAATGAACACCTTATTGAGGGCTTGATTACTCTGTGATAGGCACTGCCTTAGGTACCCTAGGACAGTTATCTCTTTGAATCCTCATGACAACAGTGGAAGCATGAAATGTCATGTCATTCACATTCAGAGTTGAGAAAACCAAGGTTCAGGCAGATTAAATGTCTTTCTGAAGGTTAAATCTAGGGATGTTGGCCCAAGTCCTGTGCTCTTTCCGTTAATCAATAGCTACCGCCCACTGCTGGCCTCGCTCATGTTCAGAAAGGATATCTGACCCACTGCCAGCCTGGAAAGCACTTGGCTTTTTTCTAGTAGTGGAAAAAGCAGCTCATCCATTTTGGAGACTAATTGACTAGACAGAGATTGCTCACTGGCCCCTATCCAGGTGGGGCACATGACCCAAACTATTCAACAGGAGTGGCAGCATCTGCCTGACAGCAGCACTGGGGCCAAAGCTCATCCTCTGGATATATCCTGGTTAAGTTAATCTCTACCCATAACACAGGGATTATTCTTCAGCCCAAACACCAGATATTCAAATAGGAGGTACATTTCACATTGGGCATATTTGTTCTCCTTGATGTGTAGGAAGAATGGGGTGAAATGATCAATAAAATAGAAAGAACATTATAGGAAGAACTTTTAAATTAATCTCAGTATCTATCCTAGAGAGAAAGTCACTCACAAGCACAAGGAGGCATAGATGAGAATATGTATTGCCACATTGCTTGTATAGTTGAAAAATGGGAATCAACCTAAATGCCCATCTATAGAGGACTGGATAAGTAAATTACTTACATCCATAATATAAAATACTATGCAATGTGAAAAACGTTGAGGTAAATCTATAGGTACTGAGTGGCATGAAAAAAAAAAAAGCATCCATACATGCTAATATTATGCATTACATTGAGCATATATGTATGAATATAAATGTATAGACAAAAGACTGGTAACAGTGGTCTCTCTGGAGATGAGGCTGGGTTGGGTGGCAGTAAGGGAACAGTAGCTTTATCTGTAATTATTGCTTTATTTTACTCCAACTATGTATTGGTATGTTTCTTATGTAATTAAAACTTATAAAAATGTAAGAATAAAGGTTTAAACACAAAACACAGTAAATGAAGGTGAAGTTATTACATTTTAGAGTTTTTCACTCATTTCTGTAAATGGTTTCAACTAACTT